TTCACTCACATTTATCTCAAGTTGGTATCAGAGCCACCCTAACCCTAGCCCCTCCTCCAGAGTGCATCCACTAGCCACCACACTGCCACCGACAGCGATCTTTAGCCACACCAACACAAACCAGCGACAACTACCAACGAAAAACCCATGGTCCACAAACCCACATACCAGCGAACAAATTGCCTTTAACCTACTGCCGCTGTCGACAAATCTCACTAACAAACCTCACCGACAGCCACATATCCGAGGCTGACCAGCATACCAACAACCACAAACCCAACAAGCATACATACGCACCGAATACCCAAACCCAACAAACATCATCCCAAGGCCACCCATTGAACCCAGCAAACATCATCACCAAACAAAACCACAACAAACCAGCACCAAAACCGAAACCAAGGCCACACATCACCGAGAACTCCTCACCAACATACTGCCCTTATCAGCCCACTAAAAAAAAAAAAAAGCAAAACCCATCAGCAAAACGGCCAGCTGCCCCATCATCGACTCAATCACCGATAGCCAACAAACCAAACACTCAGTTGACTCAATCACCAACAACTATACAAAAAAACAACTAGCAGCACTGACTGCCTCCTTCATTATACCTAAGCACCGACCAATCTAAAAGAAAACACATACCAGACCCAGTCCATTAAACATATACTAAACCAGCCCACTGTCAGGTCCTTTTTCTTTGTTGTAAACCCAGCCTATTAAACATATACTAAACTAGCCCATTGTTACTCAGCCCACTATCGGGTCCTTTTTCTTCGTTGTAACTTCGTCGTTCATAGTCTTCGTCATAATGCTGCCAAGTTGCAATATCTAGGGCTGTTTTGAGAAGGGTTGAATCCTCTTCTTTGTTGATTTGCTCTTGATGCAGTAGATTGTTTATTTTCATTTACTAGAATTTTGGGCACCGTGACTTGATTATTTGAGAGCTTTCTGGACCTTTTTTATCTGTCGCTATTGTTCGACTAGAGGTATATTGTTCTCCTTTATTTTATCCCTCTATTTATCTTAGAGTTGTTTTTTCTGTCACGTGTGCCATACTATTGTTGTTGATATGACTACTACTGAGAGACTTGAGACCCCTATTGTTGACTCATTTACCGTTGAGACATCCACTGTTAGTATTTTCACTTGGAATGTACTGCCTGGTCGCCTGGACCAGCGCCGACAGGACATCCCAGATCCGCGCAGACGGACAGTTTCTCGTTAGTGTGATTATTGTGGCTGATCAGGGCTACTTGTTGGAAGCTCTATTCGGAGCTTGAGCCACCTTCTCGCAACCACACTGTTGCCATTGGTAAGGCACCATCACTTATAGTCATTGCTCCTGTTACTACTGCTACTGCTCCTCTTTGGCAGAGTGATATGGATGCTATCACTTCTCGTTTGGATAGACTTATGTTAGCCTTGACTTTTCGAGGTCCGACTACTATTGCTGCGACTACTACTGGTATATCTCGTACTTTTCATACTTGCGTCAGTCCGTCTCCCCTTTGGATGCTGGACTCGGGTGCTAATGGTCATATGACGGGTGAGGCTCATCACTTCACCACTTTTGACGAGCAGTTACATACACAGGTTCAACTAGCAGATGAGACACATGCCCCTATTATTAGTAGGGGTACAGTCTGCCTTCCAGATGACTTTACATTACATTCGATTTTTCATACGCCAAAACTGGCCATGAATCTATTATCCGTACATCAGTTAGCTAGAGATTTTTACTGTACGGTTGTATTTTTATCTAATTTGTGTTATTTGCAAGACCTGAGTATCAAGAGAATTATTATCAGGGGACATGAGAGAGATGTATTGTATTATCTAGGCGATCCACCTTCAGTTTCACCAGTTCCTCCTTCTCCATTATCTGCACCTACTTTGTCTTTATCTGTTCCTAACTTGAATGCTAGTATTTTGCCTAGTACTTATCGTTATGATTTTTCATCACAAACTGTTCAGTTGTGGCATGACCATTTTGGGTATACAAATTTTAAATATTAATGTATGTTATTTCCTGTTTTAAGAAATGCTTGTAATGGTGGTAAACTTGACTGTGTTATATGTTCCCTATCGAAACATGTTCATACCAGTTATATTTCTCGCATGCACTAGTCACCCAAAGTCATTTGACCTAATACACTCTGATATTTGGGGACCCTCTCCTGTTACTGCTTTGTCAGGTGCTCGATACTATGTGACATTTATAGATGACCATACTCGTTGTACTTGGGTCTACATTTTGCATAGGAAGTCTAATGTATTCCTTATCATCACTCAATTTTTTCAGATGATTAAGACACAATTCGATGTCATTGTTCGTCCTCTTCGTTCGGATAATGTCAAAGAATATGTGTTTGATGCCTTAGTGTCTCACCTTTCTTCTCAGGGTATCCTTCAACAGCTCACTTGTCCATATACTCTTGAGCAAAATGGAGTTGCTGAAAGGAAAAATAGGAGTCTAACAGGGATGGTACGTTGAATGCCTAGAGGTATGGGGGTACCAAAATTTTATTGGTATTTTACTATTTTGACTTCTACCTTTCTGTGTAATCGTACACCGAGTTGTGTTCTTCAGCATAGGGCTCCCTTACAGGTCTTATTCCCTGAGCAAACACTTTTTTCGGTCCCCCCCTGTATTTTTGACTGCACATGTTTTGTTCAAGATCGATCTCCTGCTCGTTATAAGCTTGATGATAAAACGATTCGTTGTGTCTTTGTGGGCTATTGTCATCAGTCTAAGGGGTATCGGCGTTATGATCCTATCAGGCGCCGTATGTATCATAGTCTAGATGTTATTTTTCTTGAGCACATTCCTTATTTTTCTTCTATTCCTGTGTCTGCCCCTCCAGTTGATGATACTCCCTTTGATTTTCTGTTACCATAAGAACCAGAGCCATTAGTCATTATCACTATAGAGTCATCAGTCTCTCCTCCACCAGAGCCACTCGTCCCTATCAGTACAGAGTCACCAGTCTCTATTCCTTTGTAGGTTTATGTTTGTCACCCTCGCTCTCATCCCCCTGCTGATGTCCCTTCTACCATAGGCGATGCAGACAATATTTTTCAGTTTGTTGAGCATATTGATGCACTTACTGTTAGTACTGATGAGATTGTAGGTACTGAACCAGTTATTTTTTCTGATGAGACATTGTCAGTAGATGATGATGATTTAGGGCGTCGTTATCCCCAGCGTGATCGGCGTCTAGTTGTCCGCTATGGTTGGACTGCTAAGATTTTATATCCGATCTCTGCTTATGTTTTTTATGGTGATCTTTCTCATACATTTTGAGCTTATAGTATGACCTTATCAGATATGCCGGTTTCTCGCTCTATTTCAAAGGCTATACAGGAGCCCGAGTGGGTTCTTGCCATGCAGACAGAGATGGACGCCCTTCAGTGTAATCATACGTGGGATCTTGTCTCTTTACCTTCAGGGATGAAGCCTGTTGGCTGTCGTTGGGTTTACACCCTGAAGTTTTTTATGGATGGTACTATTGATCGTCACAAGGCTAGGCTTGTGACAAAATTAACTACTGTTTGATTGATTATTTCTCTGATTGCGGAGTACTCTTGACCTCTTCATCAGTTGGATGTGAAGAATACATTTTTTCACGGTGATCTGGATGATATTATTTATATGGATACACTACCGGACTTTTGTGGTGAGGAGGAGTATGCTGAAAAGGTATGTTGACTGCGTAAGTCTCTCTATGGACTGAAACAATCACCACGAGCCTAGTTCTCTCGCTTTAGTGATGTAGTTGTATGTTTAGGGTTCACTAGATGTCATTCTGATCATACTTGCTTTATTCGACGGAATACTTCTGGACAGTGTGTCATCCTTCTGGTATATGTTGATGATATTATTATTACTGGAGATGATATTTCTGAGACTATGCAGGTTAAGGTAGACCTTCGATCTGAAGGATCTTGGATTTCTGCGATACTTTCTTGGGATTGAGGTTACTCGTAGCAGCAGGGGTATTGTTCTGTCTTAGAAAAAGGATGTTTTGGATTTTCTCTCAGACACTGGGATGTTGGGGTGCAAATCGGCATCATCACCCATGATTCCAAACCTAAAGCTTACTGCTGAAGGTGAGGAGTTGAGAAATCTGACTGTCTATTAGAGGTTAATAGGTAGACTTATCTACTTAGCCAACACTAGGCCAGACATTTCATTCACTATCAGCCGAGTTAGTCAGTTCATGCACAGGCCGTGTCAGCCTCATCTTAATATAGTTTATCATATTCTTCGGTACCTCAAGTCTTGTTCTGGACTTGAGTTGTTCTATGCATCAGGATCTCAAACTGGTCCTCTAGTTTGTTATTCAGATGCGGATTATGGGAGAGCATATGACGGTTAATCTACTACGAACTTCTGTGCTTTTTGGGGGACTCATCTTATCTCTTGGAATAGCAAGAAACAGACAATTGTCTCTCGTTTGTCAGCAGAGGCAGAGTATCTGGCATTGACACATGCACTTGGTACATGTGAGATTATTTGGTTACGATCGATTCTTGGCGAGTTGAGATTTCTAGTGGCTTCTTCATCTACATTATATTGTGATAATCGATTTGCTATTCAGCTCGCTTCTGACTCTATATTATACGAGAGGACAAAACATATAGGGATCGATGTTCACTTTCTTCGGGAGAAGGTTCGATATGGTATTGCCACTTCATTGTTTGTGGGTACCAGTGATCAGATTACGGATGTTTTCACCAGATCTGTCACTCTATCTATTCTTCGGGACTCTGTTGTCAAGCTCGACTTAGTTGATATTTTTGCACCTAGCTTGAGGGGGAGTGTTGGAACATAGTCTAATTTATTAGGGTTTCTTTTCCCTTTTTCACCCTTGCTATGATTTTTATATTTTGCCTAGACCACCAGGATGTTTTGGTCACTTTTTATTATTATTTGACTATATACATGGGGTTTTACTTTTAGTTTGAGTATCTCTTTTTTCACATTTATCTCAAGTCTATTGAATAGGAAAAAGTTTAGCCAATTGCATGAGACTCTCACCATGGACATCCGGTAACATGATTAAGTCCCGATTAGCTTTAATTCCACCATAACAGTACAGTTTCCTCATCAAGCCAACAAGTAACATGGCTTGCCACATCCGGTAAAGTCCACAGCAACTTTCATTAAGCATGGGAACGAGACCACTACTAGGCTATGTGTACAAATGACGTCTCCTCTAATCACTAGATAAACTTGTTCATGTGCATAACTTCAAATACAAGACAATGTAGTGAGGTTCAAGGTTCCATTTTTGTATTCCAAACGTTTCATGCTCGTACTGGTAAACATGATTAAGTCGCATAAAATATGCAAATTTCCATGTGCAAAAATAAATTTTACGCACTTCCAAAAAATAAGTACATATCACAAGAAACTTGACCCATGTTGCTGATATGAACCAAATTTTCAGTTCTAATATGTTGCACCAAAAGTAAGATGCAAAAATTGATTGTGTAAGGTTACATGTTCAACAAATAAGTGTCACACGCACAAAGTCCACATCTACTGTAGCCACTTACAAAATCTCAATACATACCAGCCGCAGAAGCATCACAGTAAGATCAACCAAGTCACAGTCATATCTGTTCACAGAACATAGGATCTCACAATAGTTTTTGAGCAGGCCGACAACATTAGGAGCACCTTCTCCTTGCCATGACCTTAATCTGAAACTGAGACTTCACATGGTGCAGTTTAGATGACTGAGTTTAGCATCCTGCATGAATGGACTGAGAAACTTTCATGGAGAGAATCCATGAAGATGTTTGAGAATGCCAAGTGGGATGATATATCAGATGGACATAGAAGATAGAGGAATGATACCATAGTTCAACAGGATATACATGTCCGATTGATGAATATGTACAGGAAAAAAAAGAAGTGAAGGAAATCATTTTCTTTCATTACATTGGAAAATGAAGAAAATGATAATCCGAGGGGTGTACAAGATATTTTTACTTCAAGAAATTCCAAATTTCCAAGTACTCTCTAAATAGGCAAGAAAATCCAGTGGGTTTGTCTTTCCACTACCTTTTTTTTTCATTCAATTTCCTTTCCTTGTTAAATCTGAAAACCAAAGGAAGCATGTGTTTCAAAGCAAGGAATTCATCCTCGAATTTGTAATTGAGGCAAAGCTTAATTAACATTTCAAAGTCAACTTGGTCTTTAATTCCAATTCTAAGACATGAATGCAATGGTCCCAATTGCAGCATAAGTACCATGAAAATTTCAACTTAAACACGGTTGCCTTTTTTTTTTTTTTGACAAAGTTTGAACCTGCGACCCTAAGGTCCAACAACATGGGCGGTAACCAATAGGCCAACAAATAACCTCACAACCTTTTTACTTATGCAGTGTTTCGTAGGATGGAAATGAAAAACTAAAAGTGCAATTTAGGAGATGCCAATTGTCTTAGTTCTTCCCAATTTGCATTTCAAAAGCCCAACAACCACACTTCCAATGCAACATGAAAAGTCAAATAAATCAACCAATGCATAACAACTGTGAAATGGATTAAATACGAGTGGCTTACGGTGTTGATGAGATCAATAATGCTCGTCGGCTCTTCTCTCTCCACCGCAAATGCAAACTATATTCTCCGAATCAAATTCATCTCTTTTCATCATATATCCAACATCACTACACCAACAACACACACATATAGACTTCTATGTTTAAAGCCTAATCGTCAAACAGAAGTGCAGTTGAAAGGTGTGAGTAAAATTTTGAGAAGGAGATAGAAAGCGTACGAAGCGAACCTTTCAACACCATTCTCTTCAATGGCTTCTGATCCGATTTGATTGGAGCTTGTCGATTGACAAAGTTATCTAAGTTCTTTACCATTTTCTCGAGTATTTTCCGGGAAAATTTCCAGAGAGTTTATGAATGGAGTTCCAGAAGCAAAGCTCGGAAAAGACTGATTTGGTGTTACTATTAGAAACTTGTAAAAGAGTACTGATATGCCGTTAAAATGATATGGATTGACAGGTCCAGTGATATACCAAATGGGCCTGCCTCTTGGTTTCAGATAAACTAATTGAAGGCCCACACTTAAAAAGGCGAATTTGGACGGTCCAACGATCCAGCGATCGGTAAGTTTCAGGTTTAGTGGGCCGCTGGATAATATATTAAGAAAAATTATAAGGAGGTGTACAAAATTAAAGTTATTGGTCAAAAAATAAATAGCATAAATGCATGGCAGAAACATCGTATTTTCACACAGGCCAACAATCTACTTTCAACAACTAATTCTGGTCTTCAAATGTTGAAGTTTGTATGTATCTTCAAATGACGAACAAATCTTAAAAAATAGATGTTGTTGACGATCTTATATTAAATGGGCTGAACAGTATGATTTTTCTTTCAAAGGCGAAACCTTATAGATGTTCAGGGAACAATGTTAGGGTTTATCGCCGAGGAAGCTAAAGTGATTTTTGGAGAGGAAGAAGAAGTCCAAACGTTTTTCGAAGATGAAGTGTTTCGCGAATAAATATTCTTAAATTTCAGTGGTTAACCATTATCATTGTGTATCTAATTAATTACGATATATTCCTAAAACCTTTTTAGGAAAGTAAATTTTAGGAAGGAAAATACTATATATCCCAAAATTGCAATCCAAATTTACATCCCAAATGAAGGAGGATCGTTGGATGAGTAGGTACCATCAATTTTTCTAAATGGGACCCACGGATTCAATAGTCTACCTTCATTTGGGATAGGGGTGCAACTTGGGTTGGACAACTTGATTTCAACCCGAACCCAATCCGAAAAAATTAGGGTTTGAGCAAAGATTTTTAATACTTGGATTGAGCTTGAGTTAAAAAATTCCAACTCGAATTCAATTTGGGTTGGTTTCGGGTTCACGGGTTCAACCCCAACCCGACAAATTAAAATTATATATATATATATATATATATATAAGACATCAGTGTAGAAATTATAGTGGAGAACTAGGGGAAGTTGTTGTATATGGTGGGCTCAGCTATTCATGATGTGGGAGCTTTTTCCTTAGTGGATCATAGTTAGTTTAGGGGACTTTCTGATGAGTACAATCTCCATTACATTACGAGTTAATATACAAATACGAGTTAAATTACCATTGGAATGGAAAAAACATAAAATTAACCATTTATTATTGGATATCGATCGATTCTAATAAAATACGACTATGTCATATACGATTTTCTACACTTTTACAATTATAGTCCTTAAATTTAATTTTGATGTTCTCATTTACCGATTGTATGAATTTAACCAATAATTAAAATATGTATTTAAATGATCTAATTGCTAACAAAATCTGAATAATAAAAAAATATATAGAAATTTGCATGGTTTCTCAAGGGTAGTTTTAGTGTTAACATACCTCCGACCCGACCCATTATCAGCTACTCCAACTCCGCTCTTCCTGGCTCGAAGTTTCCGATCAATCGCAGCAGCCGAAACCCTAGCCAAAATAACCCCCAAAACATCGTCATCTACGACAACCTTTCTTTCGCCGAAGCCTATTTAGCTCTCTTCGTTTTGAGATATGATCAAACATCGAAGAACTCCATAAATGCTTGAAGACAAGGTCTTTTCGATTTCTTTCTAAAGAACCTGAGGTGTTAATGGACCTAAGTTTTACGAGTTNACATTGTTAAAAACTTGGTTGAAGTTATTGGTTGTTAATTTAAGTAAATATTATGTAATATATGTATTAGATTTAAAACAACAAGTCTATTTTGGGCTCTACTCGAACTCGGCCCGAATTGAACTCGTAAAGTAATCCGAATCAGCCCAAAATCATTAAACCGAATTCAACCCGAGCCCGCCCGAATTAAACTCCAGGTAGTGCTCTGGTTGAGTTTCTCAACCCGAGATAGGGTTAGGGTTAGGATTGAATATTATATATCTAGGGTTGAGTTAGGATTAACTGTTCAACTCGCCTGAATTACACCCTTAATTTGGGAACCAAATTTGGGATAACATAACATTGCTCTTTTAGGAAATGGACACTTACGAAGATGGAAAAATTCAAAAGTAAATGTCCATAAATTTCAGCAGTTAAGATAAATTTCTTATTACAATTTTTAGGAAATAAAATTTTACAAAATTGGCAGTTACGTCTCTATATCTCAGCAGTGTACTTCTTTCCAAAATATTTTTTTATGTATTTTTTTATAATTATGCCTAATTTAGTGTACTGACTTCCAAAAGATTCTTAAAAAAAATGAGGAGGATTTATTATAGGTTTTGATTTTCCTAAATTATGGTAGATCCCCGATATCAAAAAAAAAAAAAAACCAGAGAATTTTTTTAATAATGAGGAACTTCTTTAAGACAAAATCACTTGAAACTCAACTTATACAGTAGTTCCCCAATATCAGAAATCACCAACTAATCATAGACAATTATTAAAGTAATGAAATTATAACAAAAGTTGAACACAAAATTTTCAAATTAACGGTTCGTCCTTTGTTAATCCCTCAAAATCTGGCCATCCGTAATGTCACGATGTTTGTGAAAATATCCCAATTTCAATCTCTTCTCACACCTCCTCAAAGTTAGCCACTCTAGTCTCTTTGAGAACATGCTCTAAATCAGTTCAAGTCATAGTAACTAACCGTTGAACTCGAAAAAATAATCAACACAAATCTAAACACCTTATAATAATAATAAAAAAAATTAATTGCCAAATCATGGTTGTGGTCTAGTATAGATTCTGAGTCCAATATGACCAATAAAAATGTAGAGAGATTTGTTTGACTTATTGGGTTCGCTCTATCAATTATCAGCCCACTAGATTGTATACTTCATAATGGACTCGCATGCGGATATTTCGTGATATGAACGAGGCAAATTTTATTTGAAAAATTATAACGGTAAGTTCAAATAATAACAAAGATAAATTATAAATTTAAATATCTTGAATTTTAATTTTGGTAATTTTTTAAGACTAGACCATGAGAGATTTATCTTTCATGAATTCTCTAGTCCCAATGTGGATGATCTGTTTTTGACCGAACTGAAGAGGAGATTAATTGAGGTGTGCGTAAATTAATCCAAACATCTCAGACCATTGAACAAAAAAAAAATTAGGAATATTCTTCGAACGACGAAACCACGCTATTTTTAAGCATTTAAAAAAAAAACATGCACACATTCTTTTTCAAATTTTTTTAATAACTAGTGACCGAGTTGTTTGTTTTTGTGGAACTTTACTCCCATCAAGTTGTTCATAAACTTGACCGCGTAAAAAAAAAAATATTGAAAAAGGGTTAGTGGTGCTATTAGTTTAAAATTATAAGGTGATCTACATATCTGCCTGCCATTATTCTTTACTCTTTGTAAACCTTCAAATTATGACAATTTGGTTTCTGTTGGAATTTTATGTAAGACTTATTATTAATATGGGCATGGTTATGAGTGCTCTCTCTCTCTCTCCAAAAAAAAAAAAGTGAAAATGCAATGAGCTAGGATTTATTATAAAAAAAAAATTAATTATCATTACCGGCGTTTATAAATGCCGGAAACCAGTTGCTCACAAATAATAATTACTGGCGTTTACAAAAATGCCGTAAAATAGCTCTGGTCACTATAATTTTACAATGAAGTCATCAATTAAATAAGCGTTGCTTCAGCGTTTAGCAAAAGTCATTTTAGTTTTTATGGCATTTAATTATATATCGATAATTTTTCCGACGGATGTTTCAACGACGTTAATAACAAACGTCAATAATAATACTTTACGGAGTCTATTTACATTTTAGCAGTGATTAATAAACGCCGAAAAAAGTCTTTTTTCTTGCAGTGAATAAAAGTGAGACAAAAATTCAAAATAATTTAAAAAAAAAATTTAAAAAAAACCGGTGACATCGTATGCTTAAACATAATACAAGGAAAAAATTTAAAATATATATTTTTTAAAAATTTAAAAAAACCGATTACACCATACACTTAAATAGAATACAAGGAAAAAATTCAAAATAAATTTTTTATATGTGAACTTTACACAAAGGGTATTTGTGTCATTTTTCGTGCTTGTATCGTTGGTAGATTTATACTAGCAAATAATACCACCTGGTAGGTGGTATTCATTAAAGCCATATACAAGGGTTAAACGTTACTGTACAAACAAGGACGGTATTGTAACTCAAAAAATAGTACTACACATAAAATATCAAACAAACAAGGTAATAGGTGAGCCCCAAGTACTATTTCTTCCTATCCCACCCTACTATAATACCACTAAAACTCCCAAACAAACATGCCCAAAGTAAATTGGAGCTTAATTTTAAAGTTTGTCTGATAAATAATCCCATCCAAGTAATAACTTACTTGGCATAATGAATATATACCTATTCTATTATAAAATGTCAAGATACATGAAAAATTTTATTTGGACAATTTTGTTCTCCAAATTTTTTAAAATCTCGAGATTAACATTGGAATTGGAATACCAAACACTTGTGACATTGATCGTATCAATATCAAATGGGTCATTAAATATTTCACAATGAGTATTATTGTATTTGCTTAGTATAGATATATCACTCTAATAGATCTTACAATATCAAAAATATTATATTAACTCTTCATCTTTCAATATTTTTATGTTATTATTAACTTTGTCATATCTGAGATAGGATTAGAGAAGGGTCATATCAACTAGCCTTCTTCCTCAATAATTAGCATAGGCTTATACTCTTCTTATAATCTATATCTATTTTTATATTTTCACTACTCCTAAAAGGTTATTAAACCTATCATTACCCTCAAACAATTGTATA